GAACTCAGCAGGAAGCGCAGCGCGGTAGCGGGTGTCACTAGCGCGGAGGTGGGTAAAGAGGTCAGCGACTGTGGGAAAGGCAGCGAGGTCAGGGAAGAGGAACGGTAGCATGAGGCGGCTCAGCGTAGCGGAGGAAGGGGAGGAGTAGCGCGCAACTACAGCGTCGTAGAAGGCCTGAGCGGTCTTGCACTGACTAAAGTGTGCACGCTCGGAGGAAGGGAGGTGGCGACGCACAGCAAGACGTACAGCAGCATCGCGCGTGGCCCACTTGGAGCGAACAGAGGGGTCAGCATCAGCAGGAGGGGCAGGGACAGCGCCAGAGACAAAGTCAAAGAGAGAAACCTCATCGATCGCATCGCACAGTAAGTACAGCTGCAGGTCCTCGACCCAGACTGCAAAGTCAACGGCACGACCCTCAGCGTCAAAAGACAGGACACTGGGGGTGGCCATTATAGCAGCTGACAGTCTCACCGGGCGGGAAGAGTCGGGAGGTCAGGAGTACAGCCACACAGCAGCACAGCAGCTACGGCGGCCCAGGAGTAGCAGCAGCCCTCACAGGAACAGGAGGCCGACGCCTCAGGCTGCTCGGGCGGCTCGGGCGGCTCGGGCGACTCGGGCGGCTCGGGCGGCTCGGGCGGCTCGGGCGGCTCGGGCGGCTCGGGCGGCGCGGGCGTTTTGCGGGCGACAGCACGGGCGGCTGGGGTGGCTCGCGGGTGGCTCACGGGCGGCTGGGGCGGCTCGCGGGCGGCGCACGGGCGGCTGACGGGCGGCTGGGGCGGCTGCGCGGGCGGCTCGAGGGCGGCGTCGGCTGCTCACAGGCGGCGTCGGCGGTGACGGCGGCGTTAGCGGCTCACGGGCGGCTTCGGCGGCGTCGGCGGCTCACGGGTGACATCGGCGGCGTCGGCGGTGCACGGGCGGCGTCGGCGGCGTCGGCGGCGTCGGCGTCGTGGGCGGCTCACGGGCGGGCGGCTCAGCTGCGAGCGGCTCACGGGCGGCGGCTCACGGGCGGCGGCGTCACGGGCGGCGGTGCACCAGCGGCAGTTGACGGGCGGCTGCGCTGACGGGCGGCGCTCACGGGCGGTACTCACGGGCGGCGCTCACGGGCGGCGCTCACGGGCGGCGGCGCACGGGCGGCAGCGCACGGACAGGCCGCGGGCGGCGAAAGGGCGCTAGGGCGGGCGCCGGGCGCTAGGACGCTAGGGCAGGCGCTAGGGCGGGCGCTAAGGCGGCCGCTAGGGCGGGCGCTAGGGTGCTAGGGCGGACGCTAGGGTAGGCGCTAAGGCGCAAGGCGCTAGGGCAGAAAAAAAAAAAATTTTAAGTGGTGGGCCCTAAGCACAGTTCCCACAGGGGAACCTGCTCTGATTCCATGAGAAAAAGCGAACGAGAATGAATGAACTATGAATGAAGTGAGTACAAATATGAAACCCTGATTGGGTTGCACCCCTTATGGGATACCCCACTATAGCCTACACAAATATATAAGCTATAATGTTCTGACAGTTCCGTACCAGATACGGCTCTTACAAATATCAGGACTGATTGAACCACCTTGCATTAGGTGTGTGAGAACAAGATAAGTTGATTATAGCAAAGAGATACAGACTTTTATATGATTACAAGGAATATGAAAGGTTTTACTAAATGTAACTGCTATTGCGGTTTGATACAGCGACGACTCGGGTAACTGCTCAGTAGCGAGTCAGATTTTCGTGTCCTTGATGTCGCGCTGCTTTCGGCGAGTCAAAGGTCGCTGACCTTTGACCTTCACTTAACCCCTTGCTGTTGTCTTTTTGTCAACCGCTTTGGTTGACTCGCTGTAACTTCGCTGTAGTTCGCTTCGCTTACGTTGTAGTGCTCGACACATCAGAAGCGCGAACTATGTGTTTTGAACACTTTTCACGATGCGAACCAACCTCACGGTTCGGTTGGTAACTTGCTCTCCGGACCTCTCCTCGACAATTCTCAGCCTCGGCGCTAGGCCCGTAGCGCACCCCATTTTCACACATTACCACTTTGGCTTCGCTTTATATTCTTCGCTCATGCCTTTGCTCAATGTACTGTTTCGCTTCGATAATGCAATTCTCGCCCGCTCGCTCAATTGCACAAGCAACATCCAACAACCATCCTTGTCAGAAAAAAGGCTTCATCCACTTGAATGCTTTGTGTGACGCGTTCACCGCGTTGACCGCAAGCTCTGCCTCGTCAATCCCTGCTTGGTCCGCTCGAATAATGCTGCGCGCCTCGCTTCCCCTCACACAACCAATATCCTCCTCTGTTCTTTGCTTGTGTGCCTGTTTCCACATCCACGAAATTCCCTTGCCACGACGAACCCGCTGAGTCCTTCGATCCAGTTGGGCAGCGCAGGAGCGCCGTACGATTGCTTCTCTTCGTGCAGCCGACCCTGCTGCTGAGCCTTCTTGTCCCAGCATACACTCACGGAATCTGCATTGCATGATTGCATCAGAACCTTTGCAGTTGTTGATTCTAGTGGAATTGATCTCCCCGGGACCGACGAGTAGCCCACCGTGCTTCAGTTCTCTAACCAGTGAGCAACGCAATCCAAACGACCATTCAGCAATCCTTTGTCTCACACATTACCCTCCACTCGCTCAATACGCTTGTAGATAGCATCCCTGTGGAGAAACAAGAGGTACAACACCGCCTCACAGCAACGATTCACGAAAACTGCATTACAGCCGAATCGTGCGCCTCGGAATCTACCGAGAAGCCGCAGAATCCGTGGCAGGCGGAACCACGCAGACGAAATCAATCAGTCCGCGAGACTCCTCGAACTCGGGCGACACGGGGCGGCCTCACCATGGCGACGGAAGGCGAAGCGAAGAAGCGCGGCGAGCTGCGGTACGCGATGGTATCGCGCGGTGTGGACGTGCTGGCGGAGCATTCGATGGTGAAGGGCGACCTGAGTGCCACGGTGCAGGAGTGCCTCGCCGTGCTGCCCAAGGACGGCGCCAAGCACATCGCGATGCCGTACGGCGACTTCACCATCGCGTTCCAAACGGAGAAGGAATACGGTACGCGCCGCGGGCCGGGAAGCGCGGTGCAGTGGGGCGCAGCGCGCGCCGCGCTGAGGCAGCCTCCTGCTGGGGGGAGGGGGGGAGCGCTACAGGAATGCAGCTGAGCGGAATTCCACAGGGTTTGTCGGGAATTGCACGTCGAAAAGCATGCCATGTGTGGAAAACGTATGTCGAAGAGGGTGGAAAGTGCTTCAATTTGTTTTTCGCCAACTCGCACTGTTACTCTTCTATTTCCCCATTACCACAGGTTGCCGTCCTCGCCCCGCAGCGCTTTGGTTCTCAATCGAGTGGCCGCGATGCACGAAGAGTGTCTGGTTTCTCGTTCCGTCTGCACACTCCGAACGGCCATCACTCCAGCTCTCTTCTACTCTCCTCTCACCCCGTGTGCCCGCCCACCCGCAGTGTTCGGCGTGTTGGCGGACAAGCAAATGGCGCGCGACGTGCTGCGCGGGTTCTTGGATAAGGTCAGGAAGGGGTTTATGGCCAAGTACGGCAGCAAGGCGCGCGCCATGCCCGCGGGCGCGCTGCAGCGCGAGTTCGGGTGAGTCACCGCGCGCGGACCGCGGGGTGGAGAGGGCGGCGGAATGGCAACGCAATGAAAACAGTGGAAGCTCCGCAGCGTTAGTAATGGACGATGGGTTAGCGGCTTGCTGCTGGGCTTGATTGCCCGACATTAAAGCCTCTTGAGTTACCCGCTCCTTGTTCTTTGCTCTACACCCATTGCTCCATCGCCGCTCCCCTAATCCTGTATGCCCCCCCCTCCCCCCGTCCGTCCGTGTCCACGTGGCAGGCCGAAGCTGAAGCAGCAGCTGCAGCAGGGGACAGCGCGGCCAGAGGACCTGAGCAAGGCGGCGAAGCTGCTGGGGCAGGTGGAGGAGGTGAAAGGCGTGATGCTGGAGAACATGAAAAAGGTGAGCGCGTCAGTGCACGCAATCCCCGGTAATGGACGTGCCTTCCCCTTCAACGCAGCCACCCCGATGCATTCATGCCTACGTCCTCTCTCTTCCCGCCCTCCTCTGCTTCCTGAACCCCTGCTTACTGGCCTGATCTCTGTGTCTCTCCGCGCGCGTTGACCCGGCAGGTGATCAATCGCGGGGAGAAGCTGGAGGTCCTGAACGAGCAGGCGAACGTGCTACAAGAAAATGTGCGTGCTGCTGCATGGGCATGGGCGGCTCATGGGTGTAGAGATAAAGCAGGCTTAGGAAAGAGGAAGAACACGTATCATGTGGGAGAGTATGGCTCATTATTCGTTTGGTAGAAGCACCCAATGTTGTGCTGCCATGGTTGGTGGGCTTATTTAACACGCTACTCTCCAACTTTCTCTGTTTTGTGTGGACAGGCTGGGCAGTTTAAAAAGGCGGCGACAAAGGTGAAGGCGAAGATGTGGTGGGAGAACATGAAAATAAAAATCATAGTCATCATAATCCTCGTGCTGCTGCTGGGAGGCATTGTCAGCCTTATCGCCTGCCGAATAGCCAAGTGCTAATTAGTGGCTTTCCAGCCTCACTCCCCAGGAACCTACTGCTTGAAACACACACACTCCACCAGTGCACTTCCCTCCATCCCATTGCCTCCTACTGCTTAGTCAACCTACTCTAGTGGGTCCCGAAACGTGTTTAAAATAGAGGGTTTTTGAATAAAATGGGAGAAAAACGTATAAAGCATTTCTTTGATACATGTCTTTGTATAGCTAGTTGCAATGCGGATTAGGAACAGTATTATACTGGCATTTCCATCAATGTTCTGAACATGCTAAACAAGAGGCGAAGGATGCAAAAACCAGCCCTCCCAATCAAGGGCACTTGGTATATTGAATATATAATTAAGCCTCAAAAACGCCGACGAACCACCATTCCCGACGAATACCGGAGAGTATAGTAAAGCTGAGATACCGTCACCTCTCCAATCTTACCCACGTCCTCATTTTACTCCCCGCACCGCCCGCCACACCCCGTCTGCACCTCCATGGCTGCGACAAACCGTCTTCGCCTCCTACTACCTCTCCTCGCGCTTCCCTCGCTCCTCCTCTCCTTGTCTCTCCTCGCCGCCGCTTCTCATGTCGTCGACCTGACGCCTCATAATTTCGCCGACTACGTAGGAGGCGAGAAGGCCGTGTTCGTCGAGTTCTACGCGCCATGGTACGCGTTTGAAGCTGTTTCTGTTACCGTTACTGCCTAACAAACAGAATCATGCAGCGGAACAGGCCGTATTCGGTGGCGATTGCAAGCAATGTGGCAAGCAGAAAAAGGCGCCGTATGCGGCGTGGTGTTGCATGTGCGCAGTCGGTATTGCGGATCGACACGTGGTGACTGTGACAGGTAGTAGTGGGGCCTGGCAAGGTCCTGCCGCCTGCCGTCTGCTCTGCCCTCGTGCACGCAGAGTAAGGCGAGGAGTGACGCGAGGCGGTAGGGAGGCGGAGAGGTGGGGAGGTGGGTTTGCGTGATAGCAGAGACGATAAGTGGAACGGAAGGCGCCAAATGCGATGAGACCTGGCGCTTTCTGAGCCGCATGCGAGCCCCGGCGGGACCTGAGCGAGGGGCCGCGGCACAAAGTCAAAGGATGGCGTGGGAGCAGTGCCGCTTGCATTGCGTGTGGATTGCTACATGCTGCCTGCCGTTGAGGCGCCCCAACACGCCTTGAGCCTCGTTTTCCACTCGCCGCTGTTTCACCACTCACTCGCCCATCCCCTCCCTCCCAGAGTGTCTCCTTCGCCCCGTCTCATTCCCGTACCGTACCCCCATGCACCCATTCTCCCATCTTCACACCTCTCTTTCTCCCCTGTACCACTCGCCCCGTTCCTGCCCCTGGCCCACTTCCCCCCAGCACTGCAGCAGCGGGTGGGTGTATGGGAACGATAAGAGGCCAATCCAATTCCTGCCAACCCCCACTATCAACTAGCTGGCCCCGTTCCCTGCCCGTCCTTCCCCGCCCTATCTCCAGCCCCCCCGGCCACAAGCTGCGGGCACTGCAAGAAGGTGGCGCCGGAATATGGGAAGCGTCTCAAAAGTCCTTCCCCTTCCTTCCCCCTACGCTTCCTCTCCCTTTCCCTTCTTCCCCCTCCCTTTCCTCCCCCTTCCCATTCCTCCCCTCCCCCCCCCCGCCACCAGGTGCGGGCATTGCAAGAAGGTGGCGCCCGAGTATGAGAGGCTTGCAGCAGCTGTCAAGGACGTTGCTGCATTGACCGTCGGCAAGGTGCGGGGGGATGGGATTGTGCGTGGTTGGGGGGGGAGTGGTTGTGGTTGAGGGCGATTGAGCGTGGTTGGGGGGGGATTGGGTGTGGTTGGTGGGAATGGGCGTGGTTGGGGAATGATGCGTGTAGTCTATGGCTCGTAGGGTGATGTGTTCACTGTTCAGCATCCATGCAGCACAATCCGTTCCATGACAGAGTGCTACGGTCCCACCATGGATGGATATGCATATGATGCTCACATGAGTCGCCGTCATCAGCCATGCATGCTCATCCTCACTGCGTTTTCCCATTACCATGCATCCACTTCCATGCATCCACGACAGTGCATCTGCTCGCAGAACTCCTTCCCTGCCCTCTCTCACCTCGCCATGCCCTGCATCCATCACCATGCCCTGCCCGCGCCGCACCACACGCCCCCAGGTGAACTGCGAGGAGCACAAGGCGCTCTGCGACAAGCACAGCATCCGCAGCTTCCCCACCTTCAGATGGTTCCCCGCCCACCAAACCACTCCTGAGAAGTACGCACACCTTCCCTCCACGCGTCATTGCTGAGCCTCAACCCTTGGGTCGTCACAGTGTGTGAGCCTTCAAGCCTTTGAGTTCTCGAGGCCTTAGGGGCGTTGGAGCAAGCACCCCCTTCTGCCTCTATTTCAACCCTAAGTTGGATCTTACGCGTACGCTTACGTACGTTTTGCGGATCAAAATTACGTTTACGTTTGCGGGCTGGTTAGTTTTTTTTGGGCTGCCCAACAAACAATCTTATGCCCTCTTTTTGGCTGTAGATGCAGAACCAAAGGGTGGTGCGACGATGTTTCGACCGCCACCCAAATAGTTTGTGGTGACGGGTTTCATCTGCTGGTTAACCAACCCGAGCACACTTTCCCCCCTCCTCCCACTCACATAATTGCAACATTGTTTATCTCAGATCCTGCCTCTTGTCCCGCGCCCTTAGCCGACGGCCCCGCTTGACAAAAAAATTACCTGCCCGGACATATGTTACGCGAATTTACGCTTACGTACGCGTACGTTTACGTTTACGCGTAACATTACGATTACGTGGTTCCAAAAACGTACGGACCCATCTTAGTTTTAACCTGTGTGTGTGTTCTCCCCTTAGTGTCTCCTCCAGCTTCTCTTTCCCCATTCACGTTCCATCAGCACCTCCCCCCATCTTCCTTGCTCTCCCGGTCTCTTCCTTCCCGGTTTACGCCCTCACTCGCCTTCGTCTCTTGGCTTCTTCCATTCCTTTGTTTCCATGTCACAACCCCGTTGTCCTTTGCTCTCTCCCACGTTCTCCTATTTGTATTCCTACCTCTGCCCTGTCCTACCTGCCTACACCAGCCACAGCCGCTTCATGCACGCGCGCTCACTGCATCACGTGCCTTCCTCCCCACCCTGCACGCCAATCCATCAGCTTCAAGGGCAGGAGAGACGCAGATGACTTTATCAACTTCATAAATGAGAAGCTCGGTCAGGGCACTTCCTCCTCTGCCCCCTCTCTTCCCCGTCCATTCTTTTGATGCGCCTAACAAAATCGTCTCATCTTGGACGACTTTGACACCTTTTTCGATGAAAAGCTCTGTCATGCCCCTCGTGTGCCCCTCTCTCCCTCCCCGCTTTGCCTCACTCACCCCGCTTCACCCAAAACCCTTCACTCTTCGTACTCCACACTGAGGAGTTGAACCACTTCCGGTCTTGGCTTGCCACATCGTCCTGCTCCTTGGTCATGTCATGTCATGTCTCTCCCACTTTCCACCTGCAAGTCCGCAGCCCACAACCTCACAGCCTACACGACCTACACTTGCGGCCGTTGCCCCAACACATCCCCGCACGCACGCCCCACACTTTGAAAAGAGGCCATCAGCTGATCATCGCAGGCTCGCCACCCTCCCTCCCTCCCACCCTCCCTCCCCTCACCATTCACCCCGCTTGCTTCCCCGCGTCATTTATCCATGCAGGCACGCGTGTGTCTCTGCCCGGCGCCGTGTCCCACGTGGTGGCGCTCAGCACTGACAACTTCAACCACGCTGCTCTCGATGACTCCCTGCATGCACTCGTCATGTTCTACACTCATGGGTGAGGGGGATGGGGTGGGGTAGGTGATGGGGAAGAGCAGGGGCTGCTGGAGGGTGAGGGGGAAGGGGGAAGGAGGGGTAGGATGTGGGAGGTGAAGGGGGATGGGAAGTTGTGCTGAGAGCATGGTCAAAGTACTTGCTGTCCCGCTTTCCTGGGCATCACGCGTTGGCCAATTGCGACACAGGCGGAGAAACAGTGGAGAAGGGGGGCAGGACGGGAGAGAGAAGTGCGAGCAGAGGGGAGCATAGTTGGTACGAACGCCGAGGTTCTACTGACCTGACCTGACCTGACCTGACCTGACCTGACCCCTTTGTCAACTCAACACTGCTGTCTCCCATGTCGGTCTGTCGTCGCTCCCTCTGCTGTTATCCCTCACCCCTCCCACAACCCCGTGTTGCGTGCGTGCAGGTCCCGACAGTCCAAAGGCCTGTTCCCTGTAAGTAGGGCCACTCTCCCTCTCTAGATGGTCCGTTCTGAGACAGTCTGGGAGTTCGGTCCATTCGTATACTTTTTGTGCATCCTAGTATTTATACGGGATCCTTTTGTGGTGGTCTACCTCTACACTGTAGCTGGTTCGTGGGTTCTCCAATTGCCGGTCTAATTGTAAAGCCTTTTTTATGCAGATCTAAAACCAATACCACCTACATTTTCCCTGGCCGAGTTTTACCTTGAAAAATAAGTAGAGTCCCACCCACTGTACCCTGCATACAGATGAGTAGGGACAATCTATAGCAACGTTAGTTGGTAACATTGTCCTGGTTTACTTTCTTTGCAACACCGTGCCGTGCTTCTGCAGCGTTCAGCAGGGTTTGTTATTTTTTGCCACACCATGCCATTCGCACATCCCCATACCCATCCCAACCAACCACCATCCTTATGCCCATCCCCATCACCCCACACCACGGCATGGCACAGATGTATGAGAAGGTCGCGGCGGCATTCAGGGCGGAGAGCAGTGTGGTGGTGGGCAAGGTGGACGTGGACCGATGCCCCGAGCTCAAACTCAAGTGCGTGCCGTGCAGGGTGGTAGGCTGCTTGCGCAACATCAGAAGCTAGTATGCTCATGCATCGTGCATGGTGTGTGGTGGAGGGCAAGGTGGATGTAGAGACCGATGCCCCGAGCTCAAACTCAAGTCAGTGCCGCCTGCTGCGGGGTGGCTGGCCGGGGAGGGAGGGAGGGAGCACTGCCAGGGTGAGGGGAGGAGGGAGGTTATGGTTGATTCGGGGTAGACTGGAGATTATTATATGAGGGGAGAGAGGGGTGATAGGGGACAGCAGGGAAAGGGGGGAAAGGGAGGGGAGAGAGGGGAACGAGGGAGATGAAGGAGAGAGGGGAGAGAGGGGAACGAGGGAGATGAAGGAGAGAGGGGAGAGAGGGGAACGAGGGAGATGAAGGAGAGAGGGGAGAGAGGGGAACGAGGGAGATGAAGGAGAGAGGGGAGAGAGGGGAACGAGGGAGATGAAGGAGAGAGGGGAGAGAGGGGAACGAGGGAGATGAAGGAGAGAGGGGAGAGAGGGGAACGAGGGAGATGAAGGAGAGAGGGGAGAGAGGGGAACGAGGGAGATGAAGGAGAGAGGGGAGAGAGGGGAACGAGGGAGATGAAGGAGAGAGGGGAGAGAGGGGAACGAGGGAGATGAAGGAGAGAGGGGAGAGAGGGGAACGAGGGAGATGAAGGAAAGAGGAGAGAGAGGGGAACGAGGGAGATGAAGGAGAGAGGGGAGAGAGGGGAACGAGGGAGATGAAGGAGAGAGGGGAGAGAGGGGAACGAGGGAGATGAAGGAGAGAGGGGAGAGAGGGGAGAGGGGGAAGGGAGGAGAAAAGGGAGAGGGGAGAGAGGGGAGAGAGTGGGAGAGGGGTGAGAGGGGAAGAACGTTGCTCCTGCAGGATGGCCACTTTTCTGTGCGTTTTCCATTTCATACGTGCCTTCCGTTCCACCCACCGCCACACACATCCATCCCGCATGCTGCCCTGCCATGCACAGGTACAGCATCAGCGTCATCCCAGAGCTGATCTGGCTCCCGCGGTGACTTTTGAGTCGACTCAAAAGTCGCCACACGCATCCATCCCGCATGCTGCCACTTGCAGGTACAGCATCAGCATGACCCCAGAGCTGATCTGGTTCCCGAGGCACAACAAGGTGGGGGAGGTGTACCGCAAGGCCCGCTCCGTGCGGGACCTTGTGGCGTTCATCAACCAGCAGGCCGGCACCCACCGCACCATCGATGGCACCCTCTCTCCTGCGGTACGCTGCTATGCCGTGCCGTGCTTTGCCGTGCCATACCATGCTGTGCCTTGCCGTGCCATACCATGCCGTGCCTTGCCATCTCATGCCATGTTTTGACATGCCATGATGTGCCATACCATGCTAAATCGTTCCGAGCCATGGCATATCAATCACATCAGCAATTTAGATCCCTACGGCCCCCTCATTTCCGCTCCTATTCACATCACATCACACACACCTCGTTTATCCATGCGCCCTCCCCCCACCTGTAACTCCTCTCCGCCCTCAGTCGGGGCGGCTACCAGCATTGGATGACCTAGCAGAGGAGTTCATGGCAGCAGTGGGGGAGGCACGAGGGGCGGTCAGAGCACGGGCCGAGGCAGAGGCAGCACGGATGGACGAGGAGGAAAGGAAGTGAGTGGTGGCGTAGGCAGTGTGCAGGGAAGGGGGCAAGGAGGTGTGTGCACTGTGCGGGGAGGGTGTTGAATCTGATACCACTGCCTGAGGTGACTTTTGAGTCGACTCAAAAGGGTGCTGAATCTGATACCACTGCCTGTGGGGAAGTTTGGTGGCATGCACATGAGGGAGTAGGATGAGATCAGATACATACTGTTCCACAGCCTTGCATGCTTGTGCGCCCTAAACCTCTCAAAGGGCCACACTGCACTGCACCTCCCAATGCACTCTGCTCTCTGTGCCCATATCTTCGTGCTTTTCAAAACACCCTCCTGCCTTCCCCGCCTCCTCTCTCTTATGCTGCATTCTGCAGGCAAATCTCCTGCACTGTACACATTTTCCCAAACATCTGCATGTGCACATTCGCGTGTGAAGGAGCATATGTGCAAGTGTCACTTGTACCCGGTTGTCCACCGGCCTCTGCCATGTATCCCACCTCCCATTTTCCATTCACCCTATCACTCATTTACCAACTCACCTTTCACCTGCTCACCCATCCCACCCGTTCACCATTCACCCATTTACGAACTGACCCACTCACCCACCCACCCATTCACCTGTTTATCGACTCACCCACTCACCCTTTCACCCGTTCACCCACCGACCCGGCAGGCGTGCAATGGTGTACTGCAAGATCATGGGCAGCATCATGGAGCAGGGCGATGGGTACGTGGGCAAGGAGATGGGCCGGTTCTCACGCCTGCTGCAAGGGGTAAGCGGAAATGGATGCACCGCCCTGCAAGCACATGACATGCTTAATGTTGGCGTGTGTTCCTTCAGTGGAAGAGCAACGTTTTTCTTACACATGGGCTTGCTTCCTCGTTCCGCTCAGGCAATCCCCGCCCTCTTACACACGCCTTCTCCCCACCCCACTGAGTCCTGGTTACGCCGATGTCAGTTAGTCCCTCGCAGACTTTGTATGATTACGCCTTGTAAAGCTGATTCCTTGCCTCACTGCTCTCGGAATTTAACCCATCGCCCCCAGACGCCCCTGTGTCACTCTCAACTAACGCTGAAACTGTACCTCTCAGACCATGTCTTTATCCCCTGTGCCTCTTCCAACCTTGCCCCCTGTCTCTTCCTCTCTCTTCCTCTCCCCCCTCTTTCCCCCTTCCCCCATGTTTCTCCCACGTCTTCCCTGCCCCTTGCCGTCACTGCAGTCCCTGTCTCGGGACAAGGCAGACCAGTTCACCACACGGAAAAACATCCTGCAGGCCTTCTTGCACACAGAGGGGCACCAAGAGCTTTAACCTTGCAAAATAATTTCACGTGTGCTGACTGCCCCAGGGAATCTCTAAGCCACAACAGACACTGCCAAGCTGTGGTGGGGTGTGTGCACAGTTGCAAATCGTTCGACGTGGAGATACACCTAGAATAGGAGGTGTGTTGAACGATATTTTTGAACAAGTTTGGCCTATATCCAACGCGCCGACTTGGTCGACAGTATTGCCGTATAAGAGGTGAGTTCCTTGGAATGTTGAACATAAACAAGAAGAATGGAGAGAAACGTTGCCTCTTGGAAAAGCTCCTCGATGCCGCTGTATGTTGGACGAGGCATGACGAGGGTGGGAGAGAGAACTCGAGGCTAGCAGGTGGCAGTTCGAAGTAAGCAAGGCAAGAGTGGCCTTGCTGCACGGCGAATCCCACCCTAACGACTGCTGCCATCTTGTATCTCCTAACAGGGCTCGCTTCCAGGTTGTGGCCGTTGTTCTCTCCCAGGCTCCTCTCTCCTCTACAGCTCCCAAGGGACTCTGACTTTCTCTAAGGGCGTGTGTCCTTCGGGTCGAACTTTGGCGAAAGTTCGACTTTTTAGAGAGGTTCTACACGGTAGAATACTTTACCAACATGATTTCTCACGTTTCAAAGCGGTATGAGTTCGAACTTCGACAATTTTGGGCCGAAGGACACGCGCCCTAAGCGTGTCCGAACTGGAACGTCGACGGACGGATGACGTGAGGTGGACCGTCGGATTTGTCGAAGGTTCAAGATCTGACAATCCAGCTCCCTCGACATGATCGACATCTCCACTTCAGACACGCCGCTAAGGAGTCAGCCACATCTATCATCAAACACTCGGTTGTCGACATCGAGCTCCATCGAACCATCGCATCGCACTGATGCGCACGAGTCTTTCGATGTTGTCGACATCTCCACTCCAGACACGCCGCTAAGGAGTCAGCCACATCTATAATCAAACACTCGGTTTATGCGGATTTGAATAGTTTACGCGGAGTGATTTCCCGTTGATTCCGAGGCCCTACTTCTTGGCAGGGTTTCGGGTGATTTCCGTGTCGACGATAGCCTATTTGCGACCAGGGACGCGCGCAGGTATTTCCTCTCACTACCGTCTCATTGCCGTTAACCGTTAGGGGGAGCCGCTGCGTGCGCCGATTTCGACTGTTGCAATCTCCTGGTATCAGTTCGTTCGACGAACGGCGAAGTTCAGAGTGTTTCTTTGTATGTATGTGTTCTTTCGACATGGCTGGGAAACGTATTGAGACTGACGAGTTTTCGGGCGGTTATGAAGCCTCAGACGTTCCCGGTTCACTAGAATCTGGATTCGTCGAGACTCAGAGTCGAGAGGTGGTTTCTGCCCTGTCAAGAAAGCACGTTAAACTTGAAGCGGATACCTATCCTGCGATTGGAGTTGCAAGCGGCCGGAACGCGGCTGTAACGGAAACGTTTCTCGGACAGCAGGAAGACGGCGCGCGGCCTTCCAGGCGCTGGGGTCGGCATTCAAATCAATATATGCCAGAGACGATAAAAATCTCTCAGATTTTGCTGGGTTGGAGGAAGACATGGGGCAGGGCGACGAGCGGGCTGCAGGGCAGGGCGACGCACGGGCTGCAGGGCAGGGCGACGCACGGGCAGAGCGCAGGGCAGGGCAGCGCGCAGCAAGCAGGGCAGCGCACGGCGAGCAGGGCAGCGCGCGGCGAGCAGGGCAGCACATGACGGCAGCAGCTCCTGGGGCAGTACGTACGGTTGGTGGGCCCTAACGGAGCGGTCCTACGAAGGGACATGCTCTAAAACCATGTCTAAGAGAACTGTGCAGGACTGAATGGACTACCTCCGCAAGAGTGAGGTACAAGTTGTCAACTCTAACTGGGGTTGTACTCTATACTGAGCACCTCACTATAGCAAAGCATAACTAACAACATAGAAATGAGTTTTGACAAGAGATTCATAGTCTAGGAAAGTACCTACTCCGAGATGTATCTGTTCATGAAACGAGCTAGATAATGAGTTGACTCTACGAAGAGGTATAATCATGTGTCACGCAAACAGTCGCGAGACTGTTCGCGCTACCGTACTACTTGTAACTCACGCGAAGGGACACATGCTATAGTAACATGCGCACATATACTTATACTACGATACTACTATAGTTTTTATACTGTCGAACTACTGAATTGCATAAGTCGAATTTCTTCGTCCAACAGTCCCCTTCAATTATGGAGTTCGATGTTGTCACTGTTGATGTGGTCGAGTCCAGTCAGCATTATGCAGTACTGAAAGTTCGGACGCGGCACACGTTTGGTCAAGAAGTCCGCGGCCATTTCGCTCGTGGGGAAGTAACTAAGTTGTAGCTTGTCTTGCTCGATTTCGTCCTTGACGAAAAAAATAGCGAAGCAATATATGTTTGGTTCAATTTGCGAACTCAGGTTTGTTCACAATGTGGATTGCGGACCGGTTGTCGCAGACGAGCTCAAAAAGTGACAGGTCCAGTAACTTTGCTTCGCTAAGCAACTCGCGAAGGTAAAGACCTTCCTTCGTGGTGGTGCAGGTAGCAATGAATTCTGCCTCAGCTGATGAGGGTGCAATCAGCCCCTGTTTGCACAACTGCCAGGAAATTGTTCGAACGGGCTCAAGGGGGAAAATAAACCCCGTGCTTGAGCGTCAGTTTGTAGTATCATCCGCGTGATCTGCGTCTACGTAGCTGTATGGAGATAGCGGTGACTTCAACTACTTGTGATACGTAAGCCCGATAGTAGATGTAGATACAAAACAGATGCTTCCAGCTCCCGTAGGTTCTCCCCTTCAGTTCGCTTAAGGTATTGAGCGAGCTGGCTAGCCGAATAGGCCAAATCCGGACGACGCGTGACAGCTGTGAAAAGAAGACTACCAAGGAGTTGATGATAGCGAGTGACACTAGCATGTGAAAGAGGTTCCGATTCAGTGGCGTGAGTAGATCGAAAAGGAGTCGTGGAGGTAGTGATTGGTAGAGGAATTCGCTTCAGAAACTTCTCAGCGTACTTCTCGGCGGAGAGGTGAATAACAGTAGGTGTCTCGGTGATATTTAAGCCGAGATACTGAGTGACGTCCGTCGATATCGTAATCGACAGGTTATTAGTCAGCTCCCCTTCAAAGTAAGAGATAATGTCGGGCGTGGTGCCGATGAAAAGTAAATCGTTGATGTAGACGACGAGTAACACAAATGCAGCTTCGCGGTCCAATCGGTACATTTTGTGGTCATGAGGTAGTTGGCGAAAACCGATATGAATGAGGCGCTCGTGGAGATGGTGCTGCCACAGACGCGGCGCCTGCTTAATACGGTAGAGAGACTTGTTGAGACGGCAGACCACGCGGTTTAAACCCTAAACCCTTTATATGGAGGGATCGGTAACGTAACCACGCGGTTGCTCGATGAGTATGAGCTCGTCGACAAGAGTGTAGAGAAACGCCGTGGAAACATCGATTTGGCGCAACTTAAGACCCAATGCTACTGCGAAGGCGAGTAGAGTGTGAAGACTAACATGAGCGAAAGTCGCATCGTAATCCACGCCTTACTTCCGATCAAACCCGCGAACAACCCAACAAGCTTTGAAGTGCTCGATCGTTCCGTCAGCATTGGTCTTAATGCGAAAGACCCATTTCCCAGAGAGTATGTTCTTACCCGGAATCGTCGAAATAGGGATTAAATCCTAGGTGTTGTTTGCGTGTAGCGCCTTCAGCTCCTTATCCATGGCTTCTTGCTATTTTTTCCTTGTGAGGTCCGTTCAGGGCTTGAGCCAAGGTGTTTGGTTCGGTAGGAAGAGGTGGTTGGACTGCTACGGTGAGCCCTAGTATCTGTAACCCGGTTTGTTGATAACGAGTTTGTTCCCCAGTCTCGTTAGTAGCAGCTTCGTCACCAGCTTAAGGATCGAAATTAAAACCAGGACCCAACCGTTCGCTTTGGTTAGAAGCAACGGGAAGCGGTGTAGTTGCTCCGTTATTGACAAACTTGTAGTAAGCCTTGGTGTTGACATCGTTGTCAGGATCTGCCTCATCAATCTCGATCGGAACAGAACAGTAGGGGGTGGCACCGACAGCTGCCGACGCACTAGAGACAGCTTCCCCCGCCGCGTCAGCTTCGTCGGCTTCTGTAGCGAAGGTGCGTGTACCTGAAAAATCAGCTGTCAAGTCTTCGCGGTTGGCATGTTGCCTTTGCCAAGTGGGGTATGTGAGTCTTTCATCGAAGAGGACGTCACGTGCTGGTACTGTAACCTGATCTTCGACATCCCAGATTTTCCATGCTGCAAATTGTTTTTCGATACCGAAGTGGATGCCCCATCGTGCCCTTCGTGAAAAACGTCCTGCATGTGTGTTCGGGGGCCAGTTCTATACCATACATACAAAGACTCGTAACATTTTTGTGCTGCCCGTCTTCCCTGTCCACTCATTGTATGGTGATGAATCGTTTGGCAGGGACAAGCGAGACAGAAGGTTGTGGAGAAAAACGGCGTGGTCCATTGCAAATGGCCACTGCCCTGCTAACAGGCATATCAAAATATTGTGCTCTAGCATGTAGTGGGGTGCTCTATAGCGAGTACAACCCTTCTAGGGTTTGCTATTTGTATCCTCATTCTTGCTAGTTCATCCCTCTTCACTCTTCTAAATCTTAACAAGGCAAGCTTCCATGAGCAGCTTGCGCATCGTATTCTGCAAGGTCCTGTTAATCCGTTCTGCCACGCCTTGCTGTTGATGCTGGTAAGGTAGCAATTGCAGCTTCTTGATTCCCTTTTCCACAAGATAGGTCCTGAAACTCTATGAGAGATACTCGAGAGCACCGTCAGTCTGGAAAATTTTCAGCTTCAAATCACTCCCCCATCCAGCTGCAGGTAGCCACGCCACGAATGCCTTGTAAGCAAGATTGCGCTATAGAATAAGCGTCGATGAAGGTAATGACGTAATTCAAATATGCTCGTCCTTCCTGCCGTGGTATTACGAGAATATCACTGTAAACTTTTTTCCAATGGCTTATATGCAGGAA